ATCCCATATCCCATCCCATCCCATCCCATCCCATCGCACCGCATCCCATCCCATATCCCATCCCATCCCATCTCATCGCATCCCATGCCATCCAATGACATCCGATGCCATGCCATGCCATGCCATGCCATCCCATCCCATCACACCGCATCCCATCCCATGCCATGCCATGCCATGCCATGCCATGCCATGCCATCCCATCCCATCCCATCCCATCCTATCCCATGCCAAACAGTAAAAAATAATAAGAAATCAAAAGATAAAAGACATTAAAATAAAAAAGCTAGCGGGATACCCGGCGTTGCCCGGGGAAATCAGTGGCGTTACTCTGTTGGTGACCGCTTGGTTGAAAGGAAAATACCAAAAAAATCTAACTATCTATCCATGCATCCATGCATCCCATCCCATCCCATCGCACCGCATCCCATTCCATATCCCATCCCATCCCATCTCATCGCATCCCATGCCATCCAATGACATCCGATGCCATGCCATGCCATGCCATGCCATCCCATCCCATCACACCGCATCCCATGCCATGCCATGCCATGCCATCCCATGCCATTCCATCGCATGCCATCCCATCCCATCCCAAACAATAAAAAAATAATAAGAAATCAAAAGATAAAAGACATTAAAATATTTGATCTGTAACCTACATAGGCTTCCGTGAAGTGTTCCCGTCAGTTTGCGCTATTATTATCGTCTACCATAGTTTATTCTGGATTTTTACTAAACGTTTAAATGTAGTAAACAATTTGAAATTTTGAAATTAACGGTGAAATTGCAGAAGTACATACTAAACAGTGCAAAAGTAAAAAAACAGAATTTCCCGAGGTGGGATTCAAACCCAGAATCAATGGTTTTGGAGTCCGATGCTTTATCCATTCGGCCACTGGGGCGGTATGGTACCAGAACATGATTAACACGTTGGAGATGTTAGGCTGTACGCACCGCCATCTATTGACGAATATGAGAACCATCTCCCAGACGTGGTGATTCTGAATATATCTTCAGTTTTCCGCTAGGCTACGTAGTTCTCTAGTTATGCGCGAACAGACTAATTCGGCTGAACAACTTTATATTTATAGACACGGCAGCAAGCAGGCAGGTAGGTAGACGTATGTGATTACGCTATACCTAGAAGCCGACACCCCGCCAAGGCTGCCTGCGTCGCATGACAACATGCTAGGTGTCCACTCTGGTGTCCATGACTACCCTGATATGACAAGTAATTTTGCGCAGTAAGTCATGCAGGCGGCAGCTGCTGGTACAGCTCTCTCTCGCTCTCTCTCTTTCGCTCCCCCTCTCTCTGTGCGTGTGTGTCTCTCTCTCTCTCCCCCTCTCTCTTTCTCTCTCGCGCTCGCCCCCCTCTCTCTGTGCGTGTGTCTCTCTCTCTGCCCCTCTGCCCCTCTCTCTTTCTCTCTCTCGCGCTCGCCCCCCTCTCTCGCTGTTTCGCTCTCTCTCTCTCTCCCCCTCTCTTCCCCCTCTCTCTCTACGGGGCGTTTTTAACAACGACACGACGACATACGTGCCAGCTGTACCGCCGCAGCCCAGAGAAGCAGTAAACACATTGCCGTCAATATTTGATACGGTGCAAACGTTAGAGGTAGTGTTACGGTAGCTTCCTGCCCACCCACGCTCAGAGACCAACATCAATTCACGATGTGTGACCGCTTTCGAATGACCATATATGGTATTTCGATGTATGATCTTTTGTGAATGTCCGTATGGCCTTTCGACGCAGGACTGTTTGTGAATGAATGTGAATGTCCGTATGGCCTTTCGACGCAGGACTGTTTGTGAATGACCATATGGTATTTCGATGTGTTGTCAATCGGTTGTAATTTCGTAATCGATCATCGGCTGGACCCAAGTAACCGATGATCGGTTACAATCGGTTACACGGGGTGTTGAATGCCTGCGTGTGCGTAACGTCGTGTGCATGTACGTGTGTGCATGTATAGCCCTGTTTACTGTTTGTTTTGCACTGTTTACTACTGTGTGTATAATACATGTATGTTAATAAAGGATAACTTGTATAGTAGCGATAATAAAATAAAAAATTTGAATGATCGATGAAATCGATTATGGATTTTGATAACCAATCGCTTGGTTCGAGCCACTGTTCAACCGATGATCGAGTATAATCGATGATCGTGACATCACTAGGCGCTTGGTTCGAGCCACTGTTCAACCGATGATCGAGTATAATCGATGATCGTGACATCACTATAACCGTATGGTATTTCGATGTATAACCGTCTGTGAATGACCATATGGTATTTCGATGTATAACCGTCTGTGAATCCCTATGCCATTTTGATGTATAACCGTTTGTGAATAACCGTACGGTATTTTGATGTATAACCGTTTGTGAATGACCGTATGGTATTTCGATGTACGACCGTCTGTGAATGGCCGTATGGCCTTTCGACGCAGAACTATTTGTGAATGACCGTATGGCCTTTCGATGTTTAAGGCCGTTAGAGCAACCTAA